TAATGGAAGCTTTTGCAGCTCGATCCAACTACTGTCTTCTCATTCTCTGCCCCACCAATTTCTCCATTTTTTTCCTACAGTGGAATTTCTATTGGTTGTTTTTAAGGGCCGTCCAGAAAACACAATAAAATGCAGAGTCCAGAGCCTGTTGTTTATGGTTCTCTATGATACGGCCTCCATTATTTTTCCAGACAAGGTTCACTATGTCCTTTAATATCAAACTTCAATCCATCTAAACAGACTGTCTGTAGTCTTCTAACACACCTCTCATTTACCCAGGCCAGAGCTTTCTCCCTATATGGAAATACTGATTACTCAGTAGTTCCTATGTCAAATCTCTCATGAAATCAGGCTGGTTATCTTTTATCTTATAAACTCTTGTTCAATTTATATTTTGTCCAGCATCTTTCAAATTTTTAACTATAATCATAATAAGAAGTGTATTTTGCATTGTCACATACATCAAGCAGACTTATACACATGAACACACACACCTCCCTCTACTGAAGCTACATAAAACAATACTTATTTTATTATTTGCAATGCTGCTCTAATATTGTGTCTTTCCTTTTTTATTTGGCAAAATCCCTAACTGCAATCTACTGAAGAGATATAATTACCCTTTAATAGCATGACAACCTGCAGTTCGAAAAACACTGGCCATACAACCCATACAAAACATCCTTTAATATTTATTGTGCATAAACATTATGTTTCCTACCAAACTGAAAATCACTGAAGGTGGTACCAGGTGGGATATCAGAGAGTCTTTTACCGTATCTAATCGGGGTGCTCATATGCATAGTTGCTCAACAAATATTGCAGAAGGAAGGAAGAAGTGATGGAAGAAAATATTTCGAGAGATGTTGATTATGCTCAGAAATAAGCACCATTACTATTTAGAAAGTCAACAGATGGAGATACGTCAAGCTATTTACAGGTGAATTTTCAAGGCTAAGTCATCTACTTTGAAGAATTTCTTCAACTTCATTATAAACTTAGAAATTAGTGTTACATTATGGAATATAGAAGTAAAAGATAGTTAAAGCAAAATAATTAACAGAAAATATATAACCTACAGGCTGTTTTCTTGCTCCTGCTGAATGTTGGAGGTGGTTGGAAAGGGTAAACACAAGGATGTGATGTGCACCTCCAAAGGTGAAAAAAGCTCCGGACTTGATTTCTATAAAGCCTGTGAAAATGCACTTCTGTCATTATTGTCTTTGCTGAAGACATCTCTACATGCTGAATACACCTATCAATTTCTGTGTACTATTAAAAAACTAACACTCCCAAGTACCTCAAGGTTATAAAATTAAACAGCAAATATACTCTATTCTAGGACATCTGAGATAATGCATTTTGCTGACATGCCAGATTATTGTTTTTTCTCAGATTCAAGAGAAAATTTGTATTTGCGAAGTCATAGTAATGACACACGTTTACTATAGTGACATACACAAGTTGACTGGGATTTAAACATAAATCCTTGTTTTTCAAAGCTTATCCTCTTAACTAAAATTCTATACTATATTGTATATACTCTATACAGACCAAGTAATACCATTAAAAAAAACGCCTTCCATAGATATGAATCCTTTTTCCAAATCTTTTGTAGATGCTTTCTGTGTTTTGATCCTTAATGGTGAATGTTCAAAGACAAGATCAATAAAATACAGGATTAAAAAGATTACATAAATGCTAATAAATTACAATAATTTTATGCAAAGTAAATCTTTTTACAAATTTAAGATTAATATGAGGGCACATACGATTAGATTACACAGTTAGCTTTTGTAAGTTGTGGTGTCCTCTACCCAGGGAGTATGCCATATACCTATTCAATGTACCTGTTGTGTGGAACTTGCCCCACTCCTTCTCCTTAACCCAGCATTTAAATTTACTTGAGTTTTTCTCTCATGTGAGCCTGTAATTGTTAATCTACAAGCTTCAGTTTAGTACTGAGTACATATAATATTTGTTTTTCCATTATTGTGATACTTCACTTAGGAGAATGTTCTCCAAATCCATCCAGGCTATTACAAAATAGCTGGGCCAAAGCCTGGGCACAGTGGCTGACACCTGTAATCCCAGCACTCCAGGAGGCCAAGCTCGGGAGTTTGAGGCCAGCCTGAGCAAGAGTGAGAACCCATTTCTAAAAATAGCCAGGCATTGTGGCAGGCACCTGTAGTCCCAGCTGGTTAGGAGGCTAAGGTAAGAGGATCACTTAAGCCCAAGAGTTTGAAGTTGCTGTGAGCTATGATGCCACGGCACTTTACCAAGGGGGACAGAGTGAGACACTGTCTCAAAAAAAAAAAAAGGGGGGCAAAAGATACAAAATGTCTATCTTTATTATGGCTGAATACTATTCCACAGTATACATATACCACAATTTATTAATCTATTCATGTGAGCATTTGCATTGCTTTTCCATCTTTGCAATTGGGAATTGTGCTATGCTAAACATTCCAGTGCAAATGTCCTTATGGTAAAATGTCTCTTTTTCTTTGGAGTAGAAACCTAGTAAATGAGATTGCAGGATCAAATGGTAGGGCTGCCTTCAGTTCTTTGAGTAATCTCCACACCTCTTTCTGTATAGGTTGTACTATTGATAGTTTGCAGTCCTCTCTATACCTGTGCTAGCATCTGTTGCTTTGGGACCTTGTGATGTGAGTCGTTCTCACTGGGGTTAGGTGATATATCAAAGTGGTTTTTATTTGCATTTCTTTGATGATTAGGGACAAAGAACATTTTTCAACTGTTTGTTGGCCATTCATCTGTCTTAATGAGAAAAATTTCTGTTAATACCTTTTGCCCAATTTTTAATAAGGTTGTTTGTTCTTTTCTTGCTAATTTGCTTGAGTTCTTTGTAGATTCTGGTTACTAGAATATTTCAAATTTTTCAAATTTTCAAATTTTTAGTATGCAAACATACTTAGAAAACCCCAAGGACAAACTGTGAGACTCCTGGAAGTGATCAAGAAATATAGCAAAGTCTCAGGATATAAAATAAATGTACACAAATCAGTAGCTTTCATATACGCCAACAAAAATCAAGCTGAGAATCAAATGAAAGATATACAATAGCCTTCACAGTAGCATCAAAGAAAATGAAATACCTAGGAATATATTTAATAAATGATGTGAAGAATTCCCACAGAGAGAACTATGAAACACTCAAAAAAGAAATAGCAGATGATGTTAATAAATGGAAGAACATACAATTTTCATGGCTGGAAAGAACCAATATTGTTAAAATATCTATACTACCCAAATCAATCTACAGATTTAATGCAATCCCCATTAAAAATTCCAATGCATACCTTGAAAATCTTGAAAAAATAGTTCTACCTTTCACATAGAACCAGAGAAAACTCTGAATAGCCAACGTAGTTCTACGAAATAGGAAAAAATCTGGAGGTATCACTTTAGCAGACCTCAGGTTATACTACAAGTCTATAGTGATCAAAACAGCGTGGTATTGGCATAAAAATGGGGACACAGACCTATGAAATAGAATAGAGAATCTAGAGATGAAATAGCTTCCTATTCCCATCTGATCTTTGACAAAGCAAAGCATACACTGGGGGAAAGAATCCCTATCAATAAATGACGCTGGGAGAAGCCACATGTAAAAGATGGAAACTGAACCCACACTTCTCACCACTTACAAAAATTAACCCATAACAGATAAAAGATTTAAATCTAAGACACGAAACTATAAAAGCCCTAGAAGAAAATGTGGGAAAAATCTTCATTTTACCAGCCTAGAGAAAGAATTTATTTTTTTTTTTTGAGACAGAGCCTCAAGCTGCCCCCCTGGGTAGAGTGCCATGGCATCACAGCTCACAGCAACCTCCAACTCCTGGGCTCAAGCGAGTCTCCTGCCTCAGCCTCCCAAATAGCTGGGACCACAGGTGCCTGCCACAATACCCAGCTATTTTTTGGTTGCAGCCATCACTGTTGTTTGGCGGGCCTGGGCTGGATTCAAACCGTCCACCTTAGGTGTATGTGGCGGCACCTTAGCCCCTTGAGCCACAGGTGCCGAGTCGAGAAAGAATTTGTGAAGAAGACCTCACTGGCAATTTTAGCAAAAAAAAAAAAAAACCTATGTGAAATAAATCTTTTTGTACAACACTGAGAGTTAACTTCTACGTACTTCACTTTGAAAATAATATAGAGTGATGATTTTGCCAACTTTGTTATAGAAGCCCTATTCACTGACATATTTAAATGGAAGTTTTAAGAAATTTTGTTAAAAAGAAATATATATATCACAATATATTACCTTCATTTGTGTGCCTTTGGTTGCCCATCTGCTGTTACAATTTTAAAAAATAAACAACTTGAAAATGTGGATTTATGTTGGCTCTGTTGGCATAAATTAATCATATTGCAGTTGTTGAATTTCTTAACATTTATTGTCCTTCTGGACTTATTCATATATATGTTATATTTTATACTTCATATACAGTATACATATATGTAGAGCATGTTTTATATTAAGAAGGTATATATTATACTAATATTGACATTTTCCTACTTTTCAATGTTAATGTGCTATAAAAATATTTAGTAAAACATCCACTGCCTAGAAAGTGCCCATTTAATTATTTCAGTTGGCAAGGTTAGTTTAGTTAGCTTAAAAATATTGTTAAATTTCAGTTTTATACATTTCTTTCTCCTCTTTTTTCTCAGAAATTATTTAGTGTTGAAACCATAAACTGCTCCTGCCACCTACCCTAAAAATTCATGTCATTGATGAGAAGCAGGTGAAATTAGTTAATGAATACTGAGCTAAGCATGAATCCATTGCAAATAGAAAATTAGTTCCCAATCTATGCACTACTGACTGGGTTAGCAGCAGTACAGATAGAAAGATAGAAAAACATTATATAAGACATATAAATAGAATAATTTGTTTAAATATTTCAGTATATTGATTGGCAAAATGAATGCAAATATTAATACTAATATTTTAACATAATTTATTTTTTCAGGTGCTAAAAATACATCTACTCTTGTGTTGCCATCAACGGTTTCTACAACAATATCTACACCAACACCAAATCCTTTTGTCAAATCAACATCTCCTAAGGGTATGAATAACTTTTATTAGAATATCATTTGATTTTAACAAACAAAATTAGTAGTGCTGGTATAATTTAGTACAGAAAATAATTTGGGATCTTATATATGATTGTTATAAAGGTCAACACTATTTTACTATTGTGAAATTCATGTGTTAGTAGTTTGGGTTACATGCAAAACTGACATCTCAGTGGGCTTCTTTAATGATGTTCTTTTGGATCACTTCCTATTTGAATGTGATGCTATTGTGACTGTTACATACACAAAGTTTATGTTTAGAAAAGAAAAATCTTCATGTTCTAAGTCATAAAAATGTCTTTCTAAATATTCCATTTCTTCCCTTTGTCAGCACACAGCCATTAAGGTGGAACAATATTAATAACAGATTGATTTTGTTGGTTGAATTGTGCTGACAATTGATTTAATTGCCAGGTTTCAGTGGCAATGTCATTATTATTGTTACTGCATTGAGTGACAACTACTGCGTTTTCTGGCTAGATATTAAAGAAGATTACTATCCATACATTTTTAAAAAGCTGTTAGAACCTTTCAATTAAAAATATCTAAGGTTGTCAATGCAATCTATACTGCATTGCCTATCCTGCAACACACATGAGATAAGCCTTATTATTCAGGTGCATAATCAATGGAGGAGAAAAGTGGAATGGGCAGAATGCTAAGGTTATAGAAAGATCAGAAAATCCTATACCCTGATGGATAGATGACTGAAATTCCTACTGCTGTCTTTCTCACCTTTCCATTACTCCCTTCATTTTCATTCTAAGACCAAACTCAAACACATGCAGAGGACCACTGAGGGCTCGTTTGGTGGGTTTGAATGGAGTAATGACTCTAAGAGATAAAGGATATCGTAATCATTTTCCATTATTTCTTCAATGTTTGATTCTAAGATGAAACAAAACCATTTCTGGTAACTTAACTCTTGGTGACTCTTATAGTAGGATACTGAACCACCCTTCTCCGAAGCAAGTAAATAGAATGCTTGAGCTTATATCTATGTGTGTATATATATCGACACATGTATATTCTCTTTTTTGGATGCTTTTTGATTTATATTACTCCATTAAAAGAAATTAAACTTTATATTCTTTAGAAATTCTTTAAATGAGTTTTTAAATTATTCACATTCAATTGTAAAAACCATAATGGGCCAGAGAAGTTTCACTTTCTCTTAATTTTTATTATTAAAAATGTCCAAATGTACCCCAAAGTGGAGATTATTGCAATTAATCACCATATATCAATTTTCTCCAATCAATATTTATCTAGATTTGACCACATTTGCTTCATTTTGCTTTTTCTTTCTCCTTCCTGCCTTCTTTCTTTTACTCTTCTCTCTTTCTTTTTATTTGGTTGTCAAAGTATTTTGAAGGAAATCCAGACCTCATGGCATTTTATCTCTATGTGTTAAACATGCCTCTCAAAACATATATATATAGTTTGTTACAAAATTGTAATGCTATTATAAAATCCTCCAAATCAATAGTAATACCTTACCTCATGTATTACTTATGTAGATACATTTTAAGCATTAATAATCTAGTAACTATGAATCTCTCAGTGGGAGGAAGGAAGGAAGGGTACTCTGGGGGTCTCTAGTGAGAGCTGCTGAGAGAGTGGGACAGAAGGGAGGCTGGGAAGGCAGGCTCCTATACTGCCGGGAACCAGTATGAGAAACAGAATGTCTGTCGTGGTGACCAGATTAAGCAAAGGCAAAGGGCTTTTTTCAGGCTAACTTGATCACTATTTGTGTATTAAGTATGGAGGGGAGTTGGACTCTTGTTGACTAGCTACTGGCTACTGGCAGATCTCCTAAAGGCGGTGCAATTAACACACAGTAAAGAAAATGAGAGCCTTGTCTCAAATTCTCACGTTCTGAGCAGTGTTTCGGTATATCTGATTTCCTAATTTCAGGCCAGAGAAGTTTAAATTCGAAAGAGTTGTACACATTATTCCATCCTCCTGCCATTTTTAAATTACACGGTATTACCCCCTAAAATATTCCCAAATTTTGTCTATATGGAAGAAGTTCCTTATTTCTTCTTCCTTCTGGTTAACATGTTTCTCTTAGCCACAAAGAAAGCATTTACTGAAAAAATACGACACGAAGAAGCTACTTTATCTTCATTTGAAGGCTTCCCAATTAGATTTCCTTTGTTTATAGGCCAAAACAGTTGGTTTAATAGTGCTTATGCCCATCTAAATCACATAAACTTTCTTTCTCTTGCCCGTGGCAGAAATTCTATCATCGGAAAAGTGGAAAATGTGCAACTGAGATGAGAATTCTTCTCGCAGCAACAGAGTCACTGAAGTGGCAGAAGTGATTAATAAAGCTTTGCCAGGAGCGGGGCTCACGTCCAGAGACTTACCCAATTAGAGAGATGGGACTTGATCTTTTCCTAGATACACATCAACTGCACTGCACATTTTGTGCAAAGGCCAAATGGCTAGGATTAAAAATCAACATTTGGCCATTATCAAACATTATAAAATGAACTTTTAGCATATAAAACAAAATCCTAAATCTTTATTTTAAAATGTGATTATTCAGCATGATTTTAAAAACATCTAATAATCAAATATTTTTACATAAGTCGAATTATAATGCAAGCATAAAACTTTACCAGTTCTGTTACTAAAAATTTCTGGTACTAAAATAGACATTTAGTTTCACCGGAGGTCAGCAGAGGAGCCAGATCTTTTTGGCCATCTATCTCACATAGGGTTTAGAAACAGTGATTTTCAGGTTGCTCATCCTCTCTGCAGAAACTGACAGATAAAGCTATAACATGTAGACTGTTTAAAAACATTCATGGACATTTCGTTACGTGATTGGTCAGAAAATAAAATTCTGATTAATCATATAAGATTACTTCCACAAAATAATTTTTCATTCTTCTACATAGTCTTTCTCCTTTCCTCCATTTTCTTTTTCTTCCTTGTCAAGTTGGACTTGGGAATGAATTACCTGGAACATCTTTCTACAGAATTTTTTGGCTGCTTCTTTTCATGGAATTTTAAAGTTGTAAAATTGACATTTTGCTTTTAGTTTTAGTAAAATATGAAATGCTTACAAATTAAACATTTTCTTGAAATACCTGTGGCTTAAATGGAATTGGACATAGTTCTAAAAAGTCAAGAATGCCCATTTCCAAAACACCTTACAGAGAGCAGAATCATGATGTTCTATACGGAAACTGTAGTTAGCGTTAGTTACTACAACATATTACTCTTGTAATAATAAATATGCATGTATACGTCAGAATTTTAACATATCTAGCACATAAGGAAAATTTCACTATGAGTGTTATATAAAAAACCTACTCATATTTGAAAGTGAATATTCATACGTTAACAATCTAAAATAGTGTCATTGTTCTCACCATAAAAAATGCTAACTATGTGAGGCTGTAAAATAGTGAGAAGGTAATTTTAAAATTTCAATTCAGCCTGTTAATAGTACCAAGAATCTCAAAGGTAGTGATGGCATGAAAACCAAGGCACCACGTCTGGCTAGAGGGGATGCTTTATTTATATCATCACATCTTTACTTTTTAGACGTTAGCGTCATCTGAGTGGGCAATGCAGAAGTCTCTAATCTAACTTTTAGGAATACAGTTCCCTTTGTTGGTTTCTTCTTTTAAAATATAACCACATAAGAGTCTGGAAAACTTTCGGAGAGTGATAGGGCTTAGCAACCTTCTACGTTACAGTATAATTTATAGAATCTGCCTATCACAGCCTCTTTCTATTGTTACAATACTCTCTATCCCCTAATAAGTAGTGAGAATAAGGAAGGAAATAGTGGACAAAACCATCACTGCTTGCTTGGAAGTTTGTCCTCAGGCATTCTACACAGGTCTCATCTTCTTCTTGTGATTTCTTATTATCTTCTGATTTATGGCTCCAGGCAACTTACCCTTTAAAACTCTCCTTTATACTAGAATTTTAAAGCATTGGACTAACTGTGCAATGCCAGTAGTTTCTCCCCAAGTACGGCATGCTTGCTTCTAAGATCCAAGATTTTGTATGTGTCACTTAGCAAATATAGGACCTGTGTCCTAATCATAAAAGGGCATTCTAAACATTTTAAGAAAAAAGAGAATACTGTTATGGAAAAGTGTATATCAAACTGATGAGTCACGTTGACTACTTAAGGCAGATTATTTTTTTCCCATTGTTGTTCCTCATGTCCTGCGAGAGTGCCCCCCTCATTTGAAATGACATTTACTGAAGTCGACAGTATGCCAGAAATTATTCTTCATACTACTCATTGAAAAGATGACTAAGAGGTGGATATTGCTCTTACCGGGCTAAGATGGGGCCTCTGAATTTAAAGAATGTTTCATGAATGAACAAATGAATTATAGGAGTTTGCAAGTTTCTTTATGATTTTTTTTAGGAAGGATTGGAAGTTTTAATGCTATAACTAAGTCAACAAAATGAAATGTACTTCTGAAAAAGAAAAAGAAAAAAGAAGCAATATCATTCTAGCTCCTAATGACTAGGTCATTTTTCCCATAGGAAAAAATAAAATGATTTTAAATAATTAGAAATTAGAGTTTTTGCAATAACTTTTTGCACGTTTAAAGATAGCAGGTATCAATCTGCTGTAGAAATTTGCTCTGGGGGCCTGTCCTACAAAACTAGGTGTTGTTTTCCTCTTTGCTTTGAAAAATCAGGGCTCTCAACACTTGTATTCCTCTTTGGAGAAAAGAAGCTGGAAAATGGAAAAATTAAAGAAAAGCAAGGGCTTACTCAGTACCTCTGCAGAACGATTCCAGTCCATCTCCAGGTTTGATTTACTTTTATTTATTCCTTGACAGGTGAGATGAGATTGTGATTAATAATAATGTCATCTATCTTATCAAACTAGGAACAACCAACAGTGAATCATTAAAAACAACTCTGGTGTCAACAGTTTCTTCATTATCAACAGTTAAAGGTCAAGGTGAGTTATGATTCATTTTGCCACTATTTTTAAAATACATATTACTCACATGCTATACTAGTTACACTTTTAATGTGTACAATTCAATAGTTTTTGGTATATTCACAAGATTGCACAACCATTCCCATTATCTAATCCCAGAACATTTTCATCTCTCCAAAAGGAAACCTTGAATCCACTACCAATCACTCTCCTGTCCCTCTTTTCCCAGGCTGTGGGAACCACCAACCTACTATCTGTCTTTACAGAAAATAAAACTGCGGTTATCATGGATATGGAGGGATTAAGGAGACATAGGTAGAGGTTACAAAGTAGCAGATATGAAGGATGAGCAAGATTAGACATCTAATGTACACCATGAGATTATAGTTAATAAAATTGTACTAAACTAGAAAAGAAAAGAAAAAAATGCAGAAGTTGATGACTATAATGGACAACAGCAACAATAACAAAAACCAAGCTTTACAAGCCTTCTTTCTTCCCAAAGAACTCGCTATATATAGCAACAGCCAAGTGCAATAATTGAGACACACAGGTTGACAATTAAGTTCATGAACTCATCCTGGGAAAAGTACCACAATACTGTAATCCAAATTATGTAATTCCAAATGAATAAAGCTGCGGATGCACTTCCACCTCCCTGTACAATTAAAATCCATAAACCCTCCTTATTAAGTTTAGTTAGTTGTTTTGATCACACATTTAATTCCTAATGTCCCCATTTATTGTTTCTGCCAGTAAATGTAATTCCCCAAAATATACAAGATAAGTCTCACATCAACAATTCCAAGATAATTATGAATCATCCCTCTCTTTCTCACTTTCCTCCTAGCTCTATGCAGTGGTTTTCACTTAAGGGGAAGGTTGTAGTCAAGGTCTTTTCTCTGCACTCACAATCTGGTATTGACATGACTCCCTCAAATCTTGTGAGTTAAATTCCCCGATTTCCTATGCTTTGTCTTTCATGCATCCCAACTATACCACAAGCTAAGATTTAAAGACATGTATTTCAAAAATACAAGTCCTAACTGTAAAGCCAATTGTTAACTTGATGTAGTAATTCTCTTATAAATCAATATTATTACCAACACTTATTATTACCTACACTTGCAGTGCTATTCACACCTGTACAGATCAAAGCCAATACACCTGGTTAACTATGAGAAAGTGAGTAGCCAGAAAATCTGGAGGACAATAATGTATTTAATTTTAAAGTTTAGCTTTAAAATGTATTTTCTTTTCCTCTGAGGTCTATATAGCTTTGCATAGTTTGCCTCTTTTCCTTTGTTGGCAGTATTCCAGAACAGACTATGTATGAAACCAAAGTGCAATTGGGAAAATTTTCTCAAGATGTTAACATTAGTTCACGAGTCTTGTATCTTAATAAATGTTAGTTACCTACGTACAGATCCTTCCCTCCACAGGTGGGATAAAGCATTTCTGTATAAAGTTTGAAAATTGATGGTGGGGTAGCATTAGTTTCCATATCATTTATCCTGTTCATTTGGGGTCCACATCTATCTAAAAATAGACTCATTTACCTTCAAAGTATTCAGGATTCCTCCATTGCTTGCTTAATGCTGGGTAATTGACAACTTATCCTGAATTGAGTGCAGGCTGTAACTCTACTCTCATTTGCAAAGTGCATTCCTTATTAATAATAGGTAATTTTCTAAGAAAAATCTTCAGCATTGTAGTCCCAGCTATTCTATTATCTCACACTTCTCTGCTTATTTTTCTAATCTGGCAGCCTTCCACATCTTTTTTAGCTATATATTCTTTTTTCTCCCATCAAGACTATTGAGTGCTTGACCTAGAGAATTCTCTAGGCAATCAGGATGGCTTTTTCATGCTTTTCAATTTTACCTCAGCTAAACAACTCTTCTCCAAAGATTTCTGAAGAGGAACTTCTGTTCTGATGCGCCTCAAACATGTTGGGGTTTATCTATCTTCAAATGTGACTTTCTGCACCCCATGAGGCCTTTCCCACTTCCATGCAATAGGGAACATTAATTTCTGCTTTCCTGCTGCCTACATTAAGACATGTCTCTACTTGCTTGAGTGTTTCCTTTCCAATTTAATACTTCAAGTCTGTCTCTAAAGCTTGAATTATTTCCACTCATTCTTGTAACTATTTCCACTCATTCTCATGCAGGGTTAACACTGTAGTAGGTATTTCAAATGTATTTCACTTTTGTTTGCATACCAATTCCTGAAGGTTTCTTACCTGAAGGAAGAGGTATTTACCATCTATGGGTCTTTGGCAAACTATGAGTTTACCCAGGTTGAATCCCTCAAATGCACTAAGAATCTGCATTACACTGTGGATGCTCTTCCCATAGGATGGAAGCTGATTGGCTACCACCTTCTGGAAGGTGCCTGCAATTCTTGCTCTATCCTGCTCTGTGATAGGAATCCACTAAACTGCTTTCCCCCTATCTCTGGCTAATATCAAGCATGAACCAAATGGCATGTCTACACCAACGTTCCTCATACTAGACTTTGAAAAAATGGAAGAACTTTTCATTTTTCTTTTATAATATTTATGCAAATATGGATTGGTCCCTGTTATCTTATTTCAATGTTACTTTTGAAAATCTCAGCTTTTCTCTTTGTTGGTAATTTTCCTTTTTCTTTCTTCAAAAAAGTGAACTAAGCATAATTCAAAGTGTATTCTATTTACTTCCTGTTGTTCCTTCTCCCTGGCTATTCCAATCTCCCATGAAGCATGAGAACCATGGTGCCATCTTTACCACCATTTCCTTGCCATTCTTTGCCCAGAGTTATGACCAATTAACTTGTACATCAGAAAGGTTTGAATTCAGGTCCTGGTTCTCCCCTGTTACAATTTATATGTTTGTGGAGAAATTATTTCTGATTCCACACAAAATAATGCTCATAATGATTACTTAATTCATAGGATTTTTGTAATGATCATATAAGACTATCCACAGCCAGGGACATGGGAAGGTCTAATGTTCCTCTACTTTCTTTATAGTAATCAACTGTTCCCCCAAAAGCAAACATTTAAATGACAGATTTCTAAATCTTGGTCAAAAGACTTTCAGTGATTAACCTTCTGGTTGTAATTGGATGTTAATATGAATATTAATAGGAATCTCTAGTGATCTGTTATACCCCTGATGCCTGCTTTTCTCCTTACAGAATTAAGAACCACAACCAATGGTACCACAAAGAATGAGTCCATCTTTACAACTGTAACAGAGGCAAATATTCCACTTTCAAAGGTTGTCTCAACATCACAAAGTTTCCAAAACAAGAGTAAGTATGATTTGTGTTCGTGGGTTAAACTGATGTGTTAGATAGAACTAACCTCAGAAGGTTTTCGACCCATAATTGCCAAGTAATTATGACCCAATTATTTTCTCTCCTAGTCTATACCAAACAGACAGACATGTGGCAAGTTTAGTTATACTTTATCCCATCACAGCCACAAATAGATTTGTGCCAGAGAAGATTAATCAAGGCTGGGCAGAAATCTGTTATTATCTGTCACAAAAAGGACAGCTCAGCCAACATATTAGACATCTTTGATGAAATAGCAAAATTCTTAGAAAGAAATACATTGTTAAAATTGACTCAAAAAATATAGAAGTCTGAAAAGATCTACAACAATAAGAAAAACTGAAATAAAAATTGCAAATATTCTATGAAGAAAACTCTAAGCCAACATGGCTTCAGCTGTGAATGCTACAGAATATTTTCAAAAGACACAATACCAATTTTTCCCAGACTCTTTCAAAAAGTAGAGGAGGAGGGAATGCTGCACAGAGTAATTCTCAGAGGCCAGTATTACTCACATACTACAGCTAGGAAAAAAAAAATGAAAAAAAAAAAAGATAAGGAAAGAGCTCAGTATGCCTCATAAACACAGACAAAATATTCTTAATAAAATATTAGCAAACAAATTTAGTAACACATAAAAAAGGAATAAAAATAGAAACAAGTAGAATGTGTTGCTAAAATGCAAGGTTAGCTTAATATATGAAAATCAAATAACACAATATACTATAATAGTAGAATTAGTACATGCATGAAGAGCATTTGACACAATCTTACCTCTACTTGTGAAAAATTCTCAGTGAACTAGCAAATAAACATAACTTCTTCAAACTGATAAAGGGCATCTACAAAAAGTCTACAGCCAAATCATATCTAATAGCATAAGACAATGTTTTCCTCTTAAGATCTGGCACACGGCAAATATTTCCATTCTTATTACTTGTATTGAGCACTGTAGCCAGAGGTTCCAGACAGCATACTCAGCAATGAACTCAGCAATGAATAACAGATAAGTCCTCAAAGGAATAAATGTAATAGTTTTTATTAGAAGACTATGCAATCATCTATGTAGAAAATTCAAAGAAGACATAATAAAACTCCTAGAACCAATAAAGGATTGTCACAGAGGATATACAAAATAGATTGTATTCCTGCATATTAACAGTGCTAATCTAAAATTAAGAAAATAATTCCAAGCAAAGTATCACAAGAATGGAAAAGCAAGTATCCAATGTACTCAATACTAACATTAAGCCAGTTGACAATATAATACACACTTGCCACAAGAGAAAAACTCAGTTTAATTCAAGTTGGGGGAAGGGAGGAGGAGAGATGGGGAGAGGGGAGGAGGAAGGGGACTGGTGTGTTCCCACCTAGTGGGCACAATGTAAGGGTGTATGGCATACCTCTTGGGTTCAGGTTACAACTACAATAGGGACCTCACCTAAGAAACTCAAACATGAGTTAATCATATGTATCCTCATATTATTATGAATTTTTTTAAAGTGACTAAAAATAAAAGAATTCCATTCATAATAGCCTCAAAAAGTATAAAATGTATAGAAATTAATTTCATAATAAATGTACAAGATTTAAACACTAAACTACAAAACAACTTAGACAGAAATTACATAGGAAGTCTAACTATTAAGGTTACAAACTCATCCTAGAAAAAGTGCTACATACCTGATTGCTGAATATCAATATGATCATCTTAAGTCTTTGGGAAGCTATGCACTGATGCCAATATCTAGTCCACCCTTCAAAGAAATTTCGGAACTCTTTCTGGAATGGCCATCAAAGCCACACTTGTATTACCTTCTATGTCCTTAATGTTATCAGAATGTCACCCTTCAAAATTTCCTTCATCTTCAGGTAAACAAAAAAGCCATTGGGGGCCAGATCTTGTAGGTAGGGTGGTCATTCCAATACAGTTATTTGTTTACTAGACAAAAACTCCCTCACAGACAGTGCTGTTTAAGCTGGTGCATTGCCATGTTATAAGAGCCATGTTATAAGAGTTGTTGGTGAAAAGCTAAGGTCATTTTATCTAATGTTTTCACATAGCCTTTTCAGCACTTCCAATTAGTAAACTTTTTAAGATTTGTCCAGTTGATACAAATTCATAATGAACAATCCCTCTGATATCAAAAACCATAAGCAACATCTCTTTGACTTGATTTGGACTGATGCAACATTTTTGGTCACAAAGAATTGGCTGACTTCCCTTGTACACTTTGATGCTTTGTTTCAGGGTCATATTGCTACACTCACATTACATCACCAGTGATGACATGGCCCAAAACATCATCCTGCCTCTCCAAAGGGTCTTGGAAAATTTAGATTCTCCTTTGCTTTTGTTCATCAGGTAGTTCCTTCAGGAACATTTTTGCACGTTATCTTTCTCATGCCAAGATTTTTAGTTAAGACTTTCCTAACTATTTCTCTATAGACTTCTCATAGTCACAAGTGATTTTTGCTATATGAGTCGATAAATTTTTGCAATATTTTCATTAGTTCTGCTCATTACTGGCCACCATGATCTCTCTTCACCAGTAGTGCTTTTTCTCTCCTCAGAAAAACATTTAATCCATTTGTATACTGCCATTTTCTTCATGGCATTATCCCCATAAACTTAGATTAAAGTGTCCATAATTTCACTTCCACTCTTACCAAATTTAACAAGAAATTTACAAATGTTTGTTCATTGTTTTAATTCAAGCACTAACAATCTTGGAATGGCACACAAAAATACACAACAACAATAAAGAATGCCACTTAGCAAGACACTGCCACACGTCAACATGAACACAGTTGAGAGACACTGATACTCCAAGGTTATGAAACCTTACTGAGTTGTTTGTATGGTGCTGCCAACATAAGCACACTGTGGCAAGTTCATGAACTTAATTGTCATACTGCATATCTAAATTAAGAAACATCATAAGTTCATGGATTGGAAAATTCCATAAGTTAATGATAATTCTTTCCATGTTGATCAATAATTGATTAATATAGTGAAGGCAACCCTTATCAGAAATTCATCATGTTTTTTCAGAAATTAATGAATTGATCCTAAAATTTGTATGGACATGAAATGAACTTAGAATAACTAAAACACTTTTGAAAGAGAACAAAATTGAAGTACTTCTATAACAACCCAATTTCAAAACTTACTCAAAGCTACAGTATCAAGTATAAACCTCAATAACCTTATGTTCAATGACATACAGTATAATTGCATTTATATTAAATACATAGAAAAGACATTTTATAGGATAGAAAGCAGCTGCAGCTGGAGGTGGGAATGGGGATGGACTGCAAATAGGCTCAAGGGAGATGTTCCTGTTGACAGAAACATTTTAAAATTGAATGTGGTGATGGTTTTAGAACTCTACATGTACTAAAAATTATTACTTACATACTTAAAATGAGTGAATTATCATATGTGTAAATAATATCTTTATAAAGCTTTGTTGAAAACAAAAGGAAAGCAAATGTTTGGCTTAGCCAATCAAATTTCTTTCTGAGCGATCAGACTAGAATACCCAAACAAATAAAACATAAGAGTCTGCTCCAGGACATGAAAATGCCAAGTTTTAGTAGAATCTGAGACAGGGCGATTCATGTGCCACTTGTGACTTAGGGATGTGGATAACCCCCATGATTTCTGACAGCATTCTAGTTCCAGTTTCCTCACAACAAGCATGTTCCACATTCACCTCTGTGATTTAAGCAATCTATTCATGTCATCAGATAGAAAAGTTAGGAATCTGCCATATAGTCTCATCAGATACCATTTACATGTACTATAAATAATTAATGTATTATTGGCATATCTATCATCCTTAAAAAGAAGCAGTTATAGATGACTCATAGTCTCCTGGGAAACTTCTAAAGTAAAAGAGATGGCAAGTAGGAACTGTGGCTTCCCAAGACCTACTCCTGACCAGAAACACCAGGAACACTATTTTTCTCGTTTTTATTGTAATACTCATAAGCACAACATAAAGAAGGTTGTCAAGGAAGTCTAACTTCACACCATAATTGTAAACTAAGAATTATTTGTCATGGGACAATCACCCACAGAGGAATCTAAGAGCAAGATTATCTCTTTTTCATATGTAGAACATTTTCTATAGTAGTGTTTTGGCTTCTAAGTAGTATGTATTTCACAGGGAATATATGTCTGAAAGAGGCCTTTAGCAAGCAAAAACTTATCTACTTCATAACATTAAGGTCCCTAATATAAACAATAATAAAACTATATATGTATCTTCAAAGTGTATGCAGCTTCAGGAAGAATAAACTTAAGTAACTTGTACTTTGCACTAAATACTCATTCAGTGGCTGATGATAAGGAAAATGCCATTCAAGGACTGTGATTTATAAAAATTAATACTTATAAAGAAGTATGTGCTCAGCCCCATGAATCACTTAAGATTCTTAATTTCACTTTAATTCATGAAGTAAAATGCCTTCTCTATCTCAAGTCTAGGGACTGTTGTATTTATTTAGCTTCTAAACACAGTTTGAAATGGCTTGATTCCAAGTAGTTAAAAAATACATCAAAGCCACTTCTTAAGAAATGAAACACCCTGGAAAGCAAAGCAATGAAATAAAGGTATTTACTGCTGCCCTTTGTATTCGCCATGTGATTAACCAGCTCTATACTAAGTCTTTTAGATATCTGTTTTAAAATGCATTCCTTGTGCAGCCATTATTCCCCAGATATCTCTTTCTTCAAGATGCTTACTGCACAGCATGGATTCTACTTGATAAAATGAGTTTGTACCCATTTCCATTTTCCAAACCACAAAGCCTGGACTTCTCCCAGATTCCTTATTTCTGCAGCACCACTACCTTTCCACTCTTCACACACATACACATTCAGAATTAAGAAGCCAGGACAAAGAAATAGATAGAAAACAAGACAAGCTACTCTTAAGGGAAAATTGAACAGGTGAAGAGTCAGCTCC